CATCAAATTATTCAATTATCAAATTATTCAAACATCAAATTATTCAAACATCAAATTATTCAGCCGTGAAGAAGCGTGGCCGACCTCACAGCTGGAGCAGGTCAAAACATCTGCACGTTTTCAGCCACAGCTGCTCATCAGACGCTAAACAGAACTTTAGTTTATTTACATGAAGAAGAACAAACGATCAGAACCAGGCTGGACAGAACCAGGCCGGTCAGAACCAGGCCTGTCAGAACCAGGCCGGTCAGAACCAGGCTGGACGGGCCTGGTGGTTTCGTCAAACATGATCTCTGAGGAGCGGTTCTGCAGACCTGACTTGGTTCTGCTCGTTCAGAGTCCGCTCTCCCACACCTGGGGTCCCTGGAGGGTTCAGGTCCACTTTTTGTTTTAAAACACAAACCTAAAGCTTGGGCCCGTTTTCATTCAGCACATGAAGTGAAGTCAGTTCCTCGCATCTTTTCTCGGTTGCAGGTTCGATTCCCGTTCTGTGGCTCTGCAGCAAATCAAAGATGAGTGAAAATCAAACCTGGGCTCCACGTGTCGGGACTCTGCTCCACTTAAAGACGCTCGGCTTTGAAGCAGAATGAGGCCATGAAAAATATTTAACATTTAAAATCCCTCGAGGTCCAGATGAGATGTTCAGAAGGACCAGGTTTGGCCCGCGGGCCTTCACTTTGGTTCCGGTCCACAGAATAAAGACGTTTCTGTCTCCGACAGTTTGAGTCACAAAATAAAAGTTTTATTCTTCTGAAGATTTTCAATATTTACGAACAAACTCGGCACCTTTTAGTTTCAGCCGAAGCTGTTCGGGTCCTTCTCTGCGGTGAAACGGGCCTTCCATCAGAACCCGGCTCCTCGTGGAGCTGCAGCTGGACTCTTTCAGGTCCTTTGATGTAAAAACTGAACTTTTAGCTCCTTTAGCTGCTCGCAGCTGAAAGGAGCAGGAACAGGCGAAGCTGTTGGTGCTGTGGACCGACAGCTGCCTGTTTCTCTGTCCATCTGTTTCCATGGAGCGGCTCGGGTTTCAAACCCTCGCATCGATGGCTGATCTGTGTTTACATCTCTGACCGCCGGTCCAAAGGTCACCAGGTGCTCAGGAGGGTCCGTTAAGGGGGGGGGGGGGTCTTCAGCCCTCAGGCGTGGCTGAAATTCACCTTGAAGCCCCGGGGGTCCAGAAACTCCCCCTTGTGCTCCGACAGCAGCTCGTCGGTGACGGTGAGCTCCTCCAGCTCGGTGGTGAAGTGGTCGGTGCTCTCCACCAGAGACGTGTCCTTCACGGCGCTGTAGGTGAGCGCCACGCTGCAGGCAGCCGGTTTGTCAGAACCTTTCCCCCAGCAGCCGCAGATGTTCCTGAACGCCGCGCGGAACTTCTGCGACATGGCGTTGTAGATGAGCGGGTTGATGGCGCTGTTCAGGTAGATGCAGGTCCTGCAGAACAGGAGGAACCAGTGGTCCAGGTACGGCCGGTCCACGAAGGAGTTCACCACCACCAGGGTCCGGTACGGCATCCACAGGACGGCGAAGAGCACCACCACCACGGCCAGCATCTTCGTCACCTGCAGCACGACACCAGGGCGGAAAGACAACAGCAAAGGTCATTTAGAGGTCATCGTCCTACAGAGAGACGGATTATTCAGCAGTGGACAGAGCAGGTTCACCCTAAAGGTCAGACCGTGCAGTGACCGTCAGAGATCTGAAACTAAACTTCAGGGACGCTCAGTCCGGTTCTGGTCCGCTCAGAGTCCAGAACCTGCTGGAACCTTCAGAGCAGAAACCTGAAGCAAGTGGGCCAGAACACCAGAACCACTGAGAGGAGGTTCCGGACCAGGTTTTGATTCATGTGTTCATGTCTCGAGATGTTCTGATAAAAGACTGAGCAGGAATGAATGACTGATTCAAACAAACTGACTCATTTCCGGCCGGTTCTGATAGTGACCCGGTTCTGACCCGTCCTCTCACCTGTCTGCGTGACGTGGCCGTGGAGCTGCAGTGGCGGGAATTCTTACAGCTGGAGTTCTGCTTGGTGCCGGTTCCGGTCCTGTTTGGGTCGGACGGCAGCGGGTTCAGGAACAGGATCCTGGCGATGAGTCCGTACAGAACCGCGGAGAGCAGCAGCGGAACCACGAAGAACATCCCGAAGTCCAAGAAGTAAACGGGCAGGTAGAACTTCCGGGAGACCCGGTACCCGCAGCTCAGGACCGTGGTGTCGTCGTAGACCAGCTCCTGCAGGTCGGACAGGTAGAACCACATGACGCAGTAGACCGAGGTGAAGGTCCAGACGCACAGGATGATCTTCTTGGCCCGGGACAGGGTGCACAGGAACTGGGCCCGGATCGGGTGGCAGATGGCGATGTACCTCTCCACGGTGAAGGCGGTGATGGAGCACGAGGACGCGTTGATGCCCAGGTACTGCAGGTAGGTGATGCTCAGGCAGCCCGCGCGCCCGAACACCCACGTGACAAAGATGCTGTCCGTGATGGCGGGCAGCCCCGCGGCCGTCAGGACCATGAGGTCCGCCGCGGCCAGGCTGACCAGGTAAGAGTTGGTGGGGGTCCTCATGTGTTTGGTGGTGAGGACCACCAGGATCACCATCACGTTCCCGACCACCCCCCCGCCGCAGACCAGCAGCAGCAGCACGCTGCTCACCACTTTGTACTGCACGCCGTAGTCCGTCCACGGTCCTAAGGTCTGGTTCCGGTCCGGAGGGGAGGTCACGTTCTCCATCTTTCCTCAGCTCCGAGGCGCGCGAAGCGGCTTTTACGCACGGCGCAGTCCAGATGTGTGCCAGCTTTACGCAGCTGGAACTCTCATCATCACGATTTATTTTGAATCAAACACGAACCAAGCTGAGATCTGCGGGTTTAGGTCCACAAAGAGACCGAGGTGTGCTCCGAACCGGGTCCGGATCTGAGCTTCTGCTGCGTAAAGAGCGGCTGTCAGAACAAACTGACAGATGGCGCTGCGCTTCACCAGCCTCTGTAGCACGAGCTCTGCTGCGCATGCGAGCGGATTAAAGCATCATCAGCTCCCCCCAAGGCTGGAGCTCAGAGACCCCCCAGGACCAAACGGGCGGGTGGGGTAAAACCTGAGCTGCAGGTGGAACACCTCAGCTGCTACAATCAGAGCAGGAGGCTCCAAAAATCAAAACAACACAAGCACAGGTCAGACAGGAAGCATGTCCACCAGGAAACAGGTCAGACAGGA